GTCTTATAAATAAATCATGTTCCTGCATGTGAATCAATCAGATGTACAATGCTGCTCACATATAATAAACCATGTGCCTATCCTGTATATCATCAGATATAAAATGTCAAAAATCACCACTTATTCTCTGTTTATACATATTTAAGATACATTTTGTACTTATATACTACATAGTATATACATTGGTTTGTTCCTGTACTCTGCACAGTGACTACATGTAATCTTAACTAATCTAATATTTGAATCTTTTGCAGATGACATTACATTTCCATTTTTGTAATGAAGCTATATGTAAATGTATCTCTCTGCACACTCTGCTGGATAACTCGTCACTTTTCATTTAGAGATAAGGATAAAGCATGGCAGTGATTTTTAATATAAGGTCACTGCTTCCACAGGAACGTGCTTTAGATGAGAGCGGCCTTCGAGTGGCATTTTCATTTTAATCCACATGCCAGCACATCCGCTCCGCGTGACAACACGGAGAGATGCAGGTCCTGACATCTGGTCCCAGCTGTTAATCTGCACTGACCAATCAGCACAGGGTCAGGGGATGAGTGACACTCATAGCAGATAAAAAGCGGTGATGAATCTCCTTCTCCCCTCCCTCCCTCTGCTCCATGTATCCTCCCAGTCACGCACAGCCTCTCTCTGCCTCGCTCTCAACCACTCATTATTGTAATTGGAGGGTTTGGGGAGATATGGTGAGAGAGACTGAAAAAAAAGTAAGGTTGAGAGGGAGAGAGAGGTTCGTGGAGGTCAGAGGCCCGGCCCTTTTCCACTCTCTTTCTCCTCGCTGTTTTTCCTCTATCTTTCTCTCTTTCTAAATCAAGAGGCATGCATTTGCCTTTTCTTTAAAGATGCATGCTCTGCATCAAAGCTGGCGAGGCTTTCAAACAACATATCAAGTTTCTAAGGGCTCTATTTCTCCTGCTCTCTTCACCTCCCTCCAATTTCTTTCTCTTTTCTTTGTTTAACCACAGCTGCTGCTTTTTTTCTCTCATAGTTTTGGTATACTAGCCTCTGTCATTGGGCTGGGTTAGGTGGAGTGTATGTGTGGTTGTGGGTGTGAGTATAAACTGGGCATGAGAAAGACACAAAGAGAAAAGGAATGAGAGCAAAAGACAAAAAGAAGGGGGAAAGATAGCTCTGTTATCAGCTGAAGTATTGTCTGTAGTCAATGGAAAGGGCCAGGTAGAGGGCGTGAACATTGCTTTAAAACCTATTGGATGCTCCAATCAGCTGTGACCAATTCAGAAAGAGGACGTTAGGACAGAGACAGAGTGAGAAAGGTGAAGACAGATATAAATAGAAATAATAACCTTATGTTTAAAGGAGAGTGGAGGATAATAATCTATATTTTTCCGATGTGATTTTCCCAGTAGGCGTCATCTGACTGAGACTTGAGTCAGTCTCCAGTGTTAAACTAATATAAAAAAGACTGGCACCTCAAGTTTGACTCCATAACTTTTTTGAAAGGAGAACTGACATCTTACAAAAGTTGAATTCACAAGTTATATAAAGAAGAGTTTGCTCTATTCAGATACAACTTTTACCATATTACATTTTTTGCCAGGGTTCCCAAACCTTATTGAACATTTCAATTCAAGGACTTTTTAAAGAATATCCAAAGTCTAATTTCGCTTAAATTCAAAGACACAACACGGCATAGTCTAATGACCAATGTTAAATACTGTTGCAGTGACAACTTTGGGAAACACACACATGCAGACGGTGGATACACAATTTCAAGGGCGCATGACTTTCTGACTACTATAGTAACGTATAAATTGTCAGCCTTTGTTGGTTTAAAAAACATCATCTGGCACAGCTGAATGGTAATCATGTGTAACGTCATTTATTTTGGTTAAATCCCCACTGACTGTCCATGTGTCATTTACATACTCCTCTTTTAAAAGCAAAACAGGGCCTCTTTAAATAATATAAATGTGGGTAAACATGCAGCTCAAGTAGTCCTTAACTAATGTACCATTTAGTCCTGTCTAAGTGACGTTTGCTTAACACCACAATGCCCAGCTGCTGTAGATAATGTAAGTATTTGGACATGCTTTTAGATTAAAGTCTTCCAATGGACTGAGTGCCACGGACAGGATTATCCATCATGTCAGAAAGCATTAATAGACGGACTCAAATATTGTTGTTTTCTTGTCTCGTTAAGGGATTTGTTTCCACCAAAATAACATTGTCACAACATCACCCATCCTAAACATTCAGTTTAATGTTTGCATGAGAAGAGCTTTAGCAGAAACATGATCAAGGAGAAACTTACAATTATGAGCATGAATATGAAAAACAAACCGCATAACAGTGAGAAAGAACTCCCGATCCATGCGTGGTGTCAGTGATTAGACAAGTATGTAAATCTACAGCGCTCATTAGCGGCCCTATGAGGACCATACATAATGTGTGTACATAAAACGTCTCATTAGGAGCCAACTGTGATTTCTTCTTTTAATGTTTTGCCATCCAGTAAAGTGGCGCGTGCGAGGCGAGGAATGAAAGCCTAACATTCAAAATGTCAAGAAGAAGAGGTGAACAGAGAGGACAGGATGTTTTTGTTTCTTCTGCTGCAACCTCATGTAAGCCTTGTGTAATTGCTGGGCGGGGTAGTGTGTGTGTGTGTGTGTGTGTGTGTGTGTGTGTGTGTGTGTGTGTGTGTGTGTGTGTGTGTGTGTGTGTGTGTGTGTTGGGGGGGGTACATATTATCTCTTCAACCATCTCTGCCACACCATAACACACCCAATTCACACACACACACACACACACACGTGCACACACACATTTCCTGCGCTGCCCCGAGCTCCAAATCCCTCAGACTGCCAGCCTAAGCAATACACACACACTCACACACACAAAGGGGGATTAGTTAGACAGACATGCAACTACACACACACACACTCTCTCTCACACAAACACACGCCCTTTATGCCCCCATCTTTTCTCTCATTTTGGTTTTGCATTGCTTGTCTTCTTGTCTCTGTCTTGCATACTCACACTGCATGCAAACAGCAACACACACGTAAATGTTGAATCTGAGTGTGTGTGTGTGTGTGTGTGTGTGTGTGTGTGTGCAGGGATATGCCTCCATGCAAAATAAAGCACAGGGTGAACGGCCTGCGGAGTGTGTGTGTGTGTGTTTCTCTTTCTGTTCCTCTACTTTCTGTCCTTTTAAGGCAGTTAGTGACTGCCCTCTTTCTCTCTCTTGCTTTCCTTCCATTATATACCTCCCCTCTCTCCTCTCATTTCCCCCCCCCCCCTCCAACCCCCCCCCCCCCCCCCCCCCCCCCCACCACTCTCTTTCTGCAGCTTTGTTTTTCCATTTCGTCTCCCTCCTATCTCCTCCTCAGCACCGTGGCGAGAGCCCATCCATATAAGTCGTTTCTACCCAGTATTGAGCCTGAAAATCTCATTTTTATCCAACCAAGTGGAGAAATCTGTCAACGGGTAAGATCATCCCACTGGCTCCCAATGCAAATCAATTTACGTCAGGATTCTTTATGCACTCAAGTGCCAAGCTGGAATCAAGTGTGATGGAAGTGACGCCACCCTCCTCCCGTGTTTCATGACACGGCTTTTATGTTAGGAAGACATTCATGTTAGTTATCTGGTCTCTACAGGCAGATTTATTCAACAGCTTACGCATTAAAATATTTAGAATTTAGATACTTTTTCTGAGTGCCTTTTTGCTTCTTCCTTATAAGAGCATGTGCTGTCCTCGTTTGCCTTGTCTGGCGTGCAACAGTTTTCTGGCCAAAGTGCGGCTGTCTGCCAACACTGGCTCTGCTGTCACACTGGAGCAATTCCCCAGAGAGTATGGACGCCCTATCGATTGTTTTTACCCCCATCCTCAGCCCTCACATGCCATCACAACACCAGTGACGACTGTAGCATCGAGGGATGAAAGGGACGCTGTACGGGAAATAAAAGGAGAAAGGAGGGGATGCGTGGTAGCTGAATGAGAAAGCTGCGTTTGAAATATCTCCACACCCCACCAACCGCCTTTCTCCTCAAGAGCGGCTGAAATGTGAGCTCTTTGTGAAAACGCCATAAGAGCATTTCGGGTTCACACACTGAGCCGCGGCGAACAAAGCAAAAAGAAAGGGGAGGGGGGGGGGATAAAAGGCAAACAGAAAGAGCAGGGAGAGGAGAGGTAGATATGGCATGAAAGGGGGTATAGGTGGTACAGAGAGGTGAGAAAATATATCTGTAGACTCGTATTTTTCCCTCTCTTTATAGTATTTCCCTAATCCCCAGGAGAGAGAATGCAACACTTCCCTTTTGAAGGATTAAAAAAAAAAGCGTATTCCTTAGCTTGCAACAATTGGCATTGTTCAGTGAAGAAAGTCGGGCCCGGCTGCAGAGGAGGCTGAGATAAAGAGTGCAAAGGCAGCTGAGCGCCAGGATTAGACTGATGTATTGTTTTACCAGGGGTCGATTACGGCCTCTTCACAGAGATCCAAAAGCATCCACCTCTGAGATGTAATGGAAAATCCTCCCTGGTTGTTTGTAATGGAATACATTTCTGCAATTACTGGTTTTGTATCAGATTTCGGACCAGATAAATCGTTTCAGGACGAACTTAAAAGGATCATACCAACATCTGTCAGTCCATTAAATCCGTCTTTTGGTGTTGGATTCGGCCACAGGAAGGAAAGTAAATCTAGATACATTTCTTGTGTCAGATTCAACTTTGGTGAACATGCACATTTGGATGTTCACTGATAGCAAGATGTTTTGATAGCACTGATCTTAAAGACAACAGAAAGCCTGCTGATCGCACATCTGATTTTGAGCATTATGAACTGATTTATAGGCGTTTTCCATGCTTATTGATGTTTTCAGAATACGTCAGATTGGCCAAATTGCCCATCAAATAACTACTACCAAAAGTATTTCTTTAAGTCTGGCATTCACTGCAAAGTTTCAGCGCCCCCTGAGGTCTAACTCCTCGAAAAGTCAGTATTACTCTGCTCACTCACCCTGGTATCGAACAGTCTTGCGTGGGATTGGGTTCCAGTTGAGACCAAGAGACTTCTCCCATCCAACCAGAAACACCAGGAGCAAGACCTTCGTCCCGCCCGTGGCTCCCATGTCGGCTCCTATTGGTCGAGACTGCCTCTGAGTGATGTATGTAGGGATCAATCAGCTGATCGGAGGGACTCGAGAGAGAGAGAGAGCAGCTCCTGGCAGCCTGCCGAGAGAAAGAAAAATCAACATCACATGAGCTGGAAGCACGAGTCACTTCTTTTATTGGCCTGCTTGTCTATCAGACCATTTCCTCAGTGTTTACAACTTTCACATCAGAAAGCCACACCGGACCGTTCACACATTCAAGCTGCACCCAAAGATAAATGTCTTCTTTTAAAAACATGGAGTATAAAATGTAACATTGTCATCAAAAACAACAAACAGAATTGAGTTATGCAAATCATTAAAGCCAACAAGGACATGGCAGTAATCAACAGAACAACATTTTAATGACTTTAGGTCTGGAAGGATTTCTCTGTCCATCCCTCACTCTCTATAGTATATAATAATCCAGCGATTGCTACTCAAAAGGTTCAGGAAAATAGCTTATCACTGCACTCCTGTCAGGACAAATCAGCAGCAGAATATTAAACTGGGTTATCAAAGTTAATTGGCGCTGGCAATGCATCAGACGCCAATGTGTCGGGGAATGAATGTCGAGGCAAGGACAATCCAGTGGCTCAGTGTTGTAAATGAATTGGTTTATACCTAATGAACTTGTCAAGAGCGCGGCCACAGAGCGACATCAGTGGAAAGGATGATGGACGTGTTACACTGCTGCAGGTGAGACAGATGCACGGGGCCAGAGGGCGGATCTATATTAAAGGGGTCCTAATATGCTAATGTTTATGTTTCTAATTGCTGTTTACATGCTTTAATGTTCAAAAAGTGCTTTATGTATCTGCTCTGATTGGTTAGCTTAGAGATGTCCCGCCTCTTAGCCTATCACGTCCATTTTGTTTTGCCAATAAAAGCGTAAGTAGAGTCCAACAAATGGGTCAAATGGAGGCATTTCAGGAAGGGGGGGGAGTCTAAAAATACTTCATCACAAGTCCTGAGTACAAAATGTTACTTTAGTCATTGTAAAAAAGGATTATCAGCTAAATGTATGTGACGTATACAAAATAAAATGACTGATTATGCTAAATGGCTAATTGTATAACTTACAAATACAAGTGTTTTCAAGTTGTTATTTGTCATTGTGGAGCATAGTTTGGACATGTTTTGTACTACTGAATAGATTAGCTAAATAAAATGATATGTAATGTAATTAGTAATTTATGTGACATCAAGTACACAATTGTTACTCTATTGGTCAGATACATGAAGTGAGTCAAAACACAATGGGTGTTTCTCAATCGCGAGTACGCTTGCTTGCTAGCACATGTCTGCCGAGCATCTTGCTTCAGAAGCGAGGCAAGAATGGAGTGGAACAGGCTAGCAAGTGTGCAGGTGTGCGTCATATGAGAGGCCCCGCCTTACATTTTCCCCCACAGATTTGGGGAAATTGGTCCGTGTGCAAAGCATTGTGGGGATTTTAAGACCGCGGAGTTTACACATGTGCAGCCTCGAAATTTTTCACTACAAAGTACGCCGGGCTCGGTAGATTTCCAAGTATGCTGGACATTGGAACAGTCCTTCGGCGGCACTCGATGACGTAGTATGCTTGAAATAGTGGCTCTGAAGCAGCTTTACTCGCGATTGAGAAACAGCCCCTGTATGTCCTTTTGAGCATTAGAGGAGTATAAAGTACCTCAAATTAAACATAGTACAGTAGTTAAGTATGTACGTACTAACTGTACTGAGATGCAAGAGATGACACACTGTCATGTTCGTTTGACGCTTGTGAGGACCAGCAGGCACTTCAGATTTAACGGTGTCACATCGTCATTAATACTCAGTGACATCCATTAGTGCCATAAATGTGTTAAATCAAGATGAAACATGTCACTAATTAAAAAAATCAACCGTGAGCAGCTTTATATAAATTAATTTAGCAGAGTGTTTAGGTGTGAAAATAACCTTTTTAATAATTGTTTTAATAACATTGGACTGCTGCCATTAGTAGATTTGCTGTAGCCACCTGTGCTGACAAACCTCCATTTACAACGATGCCAAATAGGAGATTACACAGCTTTGAAAGACATAACATGTTCTGATTGTTCATATATAAATCTGCTAGTAAATAATTGTATTCATTCAAAAAATGTAGACTGATTTCATAGTTAGACGATCCAAGCAAATCCGTACAAATGATAAATGACCTGTTTTATTTCACCGAGTTGCGAGATATTCCTAGGCAATGTTTTGAAGCTATAAAATGTATTTCAATGGAATTTGTTTGTGTTGTTCGCAGCAGTGTAAGTTAATAACAACATCTTAAGGCTTCGGTATGCTTTAAATGAACCTTGCGATGTGATGAATTGTTCGTTTCTATTCAGCATCAGCACCCAGACTTTATCCTTGAAGGCATTCATGGTGTTAAACTTGCAAAATGGTACCCGAGAAATGGCAGATCAGATTGTCTGTTTTTAAAAGGTTACAGAAATCATCATGAACGGGTGGACAACGTGATTTTGGCATTAGAAATTGGGAGTCAGACCCTGTTCAATAATCTGATAAACGCCATGTTTGAAGCCCACCTTATCGACTAAAAACTGTGTCCAAACTTTCCACATAGGGTCTTTTTTCCTCAGTATCTCCAGCCAGGTTTTTTTTTTAGTAACTGGAAGGGAAACTGTTTCGTTTAAATGTCATTTTTAAACGCTGCAAGTACCACAAGAAAATGAATGTTCACTTTTTCAAATGGCAAACACATCTCGGAGAGGTATATAAGGAGGACATAAAACCAACACCTATCAGCATGGCTAGATACAACTGGGAGTAGCAAAATGGAAAGTGTTATTTTTTTTTGTATTATGGGTGAGATGACCCCTTTTATTTTAATGTATGGTGACCTTCAGTAACTCCCGGACCACAATCTAAAGGAAGTCTAATGACTCTGACCTTAATACTGAACTAAAACCACTTTAAATACAAACAAATATGAATCTTTCTTAATATTTGTATTCTCACGAGGACCAGTTATCCTCTTAATTGCAATATAAAGGCGCAAAAACGCACACACACACACACACACACACACACACACACACACACACACACACACACACACACACACACACACACACACACACACACACACACACACACACACACACACACACACACCACACACACACACACACACACACACACACACACACAGAGAGAACACATCCATTGACTATTAAACAGGCACAAAATGTCAAACTATATTTACTTAAACCTGACACAGACAGAAAACACCTCTCTACATGAACAGTAGCACATTGTACATCTCCTACTTTCTCTCCCTCATATTCCCACAAGTGAATATTTCATTCCAGTTCTTGCAAGAAAAAAAAGCCACTTGACCTATTTGAGGATTGGCAGGGGAGGTAATTGAGATTTGAAGATGTGTGTGTGCCCACGTCCAGCAAATATGACTGTTATTGATTACACGTTTGAAGGAAAATCAGAAGAGGCTGAGAGAGGAGAAATCAGACATCCCCCCCCCCTCCCCCCAGATCAGATCATAGCGTGGTGCTGTTCAATGAGCGTGCTTAAACGCTGGGCTTGGGAGAAGGCTCTTCAAGCCTCGCAGTGTCGTCTACCAGCTTTATTGGATCGATGCTGGAGGCCCTCGCCGGCCAACGCTTCAGTGAGCTAAGATTGAGATTGAGATTGAAAGGAGGGGAGGAGGGGATGAAGCTTTGAAAGAATTTAAAGGGAGACTTATGGAGAAATAATACAAAAAACACGTTGCAGGAGGCTTACGGTTCTTATTTTTTCCCTCCCTCAACATCCTCCCCTCCATGTCTGCGCTGAGAGGTTACCAAGTGGAGTGGGCATCCTGAAGGCCGGATTAAGTGGAGAGGCAGCATGTAAACACTTCAGGGGAGGATGAGGAGGAAGAGGGAAGTGGAGGAGAAGGAGATGCAAGGCTCCTGACTGAGAAAATCATCAGTGCACACCTCTCTGTTGTTTCCTCTCTTTGCTGCCTCTCGCTGCTTTTCTTTAATTCAATCTCCCTCTCTTTCCCCTTCTCTGACAGTCACCAGCAGAACAACAATATATTTTCAACAGCATTGAACCATATATTGATTTTCAAATGTAGAACATAATGGTATCATCATCTGCTTTCTGTCTGTCAAGGAGGTTGCCTTTTCAGCTATTGCAAGTTCAAAACGTTGGTATTGATAGAGATATGTGAGACTCTCAAGGGACTGCTGCAACCTGCAAGGTCACATGACACTGGACTACTCGTGTGTACTTGTTTGCTTGTGTACTTGTTCTGTATAATGGGCTTCATAGTAACAAAGCTGTTAACAGTAGTGCCTTTACAGATGCTCTCGCTGCAGGTCTTAGCATCAGATTTCACCTGCTGTTAGCGCCGCTGCAACACAAGATCACAAGGATCGATTCAATATCAAATTACACTTTCCGTACTACTGTTGCATTATCAGTATTCTTAAAGGGGCCCTTTCATGCACATGCACATGTTCAGGTTCATATCAGTATGTAGTGTCTCTACTTTAAAGAGTCCTCTCCTGCTGATGTCCAGGTGTATATCAGTATGTAGTGTCTCTACTTTAAAGAGTCCTCTCCTGCTGATGTCCAGGTGTATACCAGTATGTTGTGTCTCTACTTTAAAGAGTCCTCTCCTGCTGATGTTCAGGTGTATATCAGTATGTAGTGTCTCTACTTTAAAGAGTCCTCTCCTGCTGATGTTCAGGTGTATATCAGTATGTAGTGTCTCTACTTTAAAGAGTCCTCTCCTGCTGATGTTCAGGTGTATATCAGTATGTAGTGTCTCTACTTTAAAGAGTCCTCTCCTGCTGATGTTCAGGTGTATATCAGTATGTAGTGTCTCTACTTTAAAGAGTCCTCTCCTGCTGATGTTCAGGTGTATATCAGTATGTAGTGTCTCTACTTTAAAGAGTCCTCTCCTGCTGATGTTCAGGTGTATATCAGTATGTAGTGTCTCTACTTTAAAGAGTCCTCTCCTGCTGATGTTCAGGTGTATATCAGTATGTAGTGTCTCTACTTTAAAGAGTCCTCTCCTGCTGATGTTCAGGTGTA